ATTGAGATGATGATGATGACCGAACTTTAATATCAAACTACTACAGGGACAGACTCCTCAGGTCCGTGTATGAGAGTCTCGTGCATCATCGAACCTACTTGTAATGAGAACCTCATGACAAGTGAGTCATAGCTTAGTCCACTCTAACCCTGTATAAGTCAGTGACTCGGAGCGATGGATTGTGATGTTTTTATCCATATCTCGAAATCAGAGGACTATTTACTCGCAGCTCTCATTGTTCAGTATCAGGATCTGCAGATGGCCTCAGAAGAGTCTTCAATATCGGTCGATCAAACAGATAACAGCAACAGCATCCTGGCATGGTCTCCATACTCTCGTTATTGTCTTAGTCAATATGCTCGGCGAAGTGGCTACTTGTATTCTAGGACGGGTATGTTATGAAACCCATAATCTTGATCACTTCATCTAGATATCGTATCTTATTATCCGAATCATCATAGACCAATCAGGGCCCGAGACTCAGGCTCGATGGTTCATGGAAAACAGAACAGTTGGTATCATCATCATCATCATCATCATCATCATGTGAATGGTAGGAAGGTGTACTTGTTTATGGTACAGGATTGGTATGGCGGCGGCGGCGAGGGAGAGGCCATGCGGACAAGGGACACCGGAAGAACTGTTACGCATTGACAAGGAGAGTCTAGGAGGGGTGGGATCACCCATATCTGGGCCCCTCTGTATCCTTACCCTAGACGACCGACCTTTTCCCTTTAGTTTCGAGATTTGCCTATATCTGGGGGAGGCCCTCACGCGCGCGACAGGATGTTTGTATCCTTTACTACGTGTACGTGAGTGCTCTCGTATGCGTGATGCTCCATCACTTGTACAAGTCACTTGCACGCATACACAAGTGATAGTTTGTTATTGTCATCAGAGGTATGTACTAGCTTCCTATGCTAGTTTCTGGTCCTGAATCAGGACCAGAACAGGACTCTTGATCCTTTTCAATGTGGACATCATCTTAGCCTGGATATGCAGCTGTTCCCTACGTATACCATAATGCCTGAGACTTCGTCCGATGTTACGCCAGCTGACTGCGTGTTAGGGGAAGCACTCACAGACCCATGCACGGAGGATGCGAGCTTGTGTGGGAAGTCCTTTTCTAAAGAGAGGTTAGCTTGGTATCTTTATGATGCTGGCAATTCAGCTATCGGAGGTGGTATCATCCTATTAGAGGTTCGATACTGCTCCGTAGTATACTCACTATTCAGGTGTGGCTCTACTAATATTCATCCCGCTATTACTCTCTAATCTCGCCCTCAACCATGCATACAGCGGATCCTCCGTTGATAGTTGCACATCGTAACGACCGAACTAGTGATACCATATTGTTACAAGGCGTATTGTTTTAGCGTCGATGGAGTCTCGTGTAATAACGACTTCTGCTACATGGATAACTCACCGAATACAGGGCTTACTACGATGGATTGTACCCATTGTATTCAAAGCAAAGGTATTCCGTCTTATCAAACTCGGTATTATTCACTAGTGTGATGTTACCATTAGGTTTGCAACTATGGGATGCAGGTCTACAGGAGTTTGTTGATTGGTCCCCTCCTCGAGTAGACTTCTTTGGCTCAAGCGTCGATCCTATGGCATTCGCATCTCTGACGATATCTGTCTCTGTCGCGGTACAGGCTATTGTCTTCATCTCACTTGGTGCATTCGCTGATCATTATTCATATCGATATTATGGTATGTTATCAGCGACTTTAATAGCACAAGCAACTGCTATATGCTTCATATTCTTGTCCTCTGGCAGTTTGTATCTAACAGCAGCAATACTTACAATGGTGCTTAATGCATCCTTTGGTGTTGGTGGAGTCTTCTATAATGCGTACTTGCCAGTACTCGTTGACGCCCATCCAGACCTCAAAGGTTATGGTGGCGTTAACGTACCGCGCTCACTTCAAGGGTTCCGCGAGGAGTTGATGGATCGAACGTCTGCTTACGGCTTTATGTGGGGTTATGCGGCTTCTGGGGTCATCATGGTTCTTTGTTTTGGGCTTACTATTATTCTTGGTAGTGAGGATGAGGAAGAAAGATTAGCTCTCCGAGCATCTGTCATGATGTGTGGGATTTGGTGGGCATTATTAACGCCTATTACCTTCTATTGGCTGAAGAAGCGTCCTGGACCTCCTTTACCCAAGTATACTCCTAAATATCTTATCATCCTGCATGGATGGAAAAGTATATTTGGAACACTACGTGATGCTATCAGGTATCGACATACTGGTATATTCCTCGTCTGCTTCTTCTTCTACAGTGATGCTCTCTCATCTATAACATATCTTGGAGTACTCTTCGCTCAGGAGTCTTTATGCTTTTCTATCACTCAGCAGGCTATTATGCTCATCATAATCTGGCCAACATCTGTACTAGGAAACTATCTCTATGTACGCCTAAAAAAGGCCTTCAAGCTACGTACCAAGACTGTCATATTGATCAATCTTGCCGTATATTCTGTAGTCTGTCTCTATGGGACTCTAGGTCTTATTGACTCTCTCCCATTCGGTCTGAAGACCACTGCTGAGATGTACATTTTCGCTGCAGTGCATGGCCTCCACGTGGGGGCATTGCAATCATTTCAGCGGGCATTGTTCGCTGATTTGATTATCCCAGGAAGGAAACGGAATTCTTCTCTCTCTACGC